ACCAAAATCCATGGACACTCAAGYCCCTTATATAAAATGAAATAGTATATGCCTCTATCCAATGTATATCCTCCCATATTTTTAAAACATCTCTAGATTATTGTAATTATTTAATATAATGTATATGCTATGTAAACAGTTGTTATACTGTATTTCTTAGGGAAAATRACAATAAAAAATGCCTGTACATATTCATTACAGATGCAATTTTTTAAGTGTATTTTTGATCCCTAGTTGATTGAATCCACAGACCTCATGGATAAAAGGGCCATCTAAACCATAAATGAAGAGAGAAGACAGACCACAGAATGAGAGACGACATATACACACACACACACACACACACACAYATATATATATATATATATATATAGTTATATATATAACTATAGTTATATAGTTATATATATATATAACTATAGTTATATAGTTATAATATATATATATATATATATATATATAAAACTATAAGGCACTAATATATATGTAGTCTTTTACCATATGTATTCACTTATCATATATATGTTTGTATATATATGTATATATATTCACTTTCTCCTTTTAGATATGACAGATATGACAGTCTGTTCACATGCTATTGAGAATATACACAGAAAAGAATAATTTTGGAGAYAGGGAATATTTAAGGTGCATTATTAGTCCATTTTCTGTGGAYTGGGTACTTTATAAAGGAGAGAGGTTAATTGTGCTCATGATTTGGGTGGCTAAAGAGGRTCCAAAGAGCATGGCGCTTGTCAGGAGCTGCCACATAGGAGCTGAGCGCCCCCTAGCTTTGAGTGATGGAAATATGGAGACTGGCTTCCCTGACCAGGGGGCAGGTGGGTCCCCATTTCCCCATAGCAGAAGAGCTCAGCTTTGGGAGTGGGTGTTACCCAGTGGGAGTGGGCTGCCCCTTGTAACATGAGCCCTCTGCCTTGAATGGATAGAATGTTCTTTCAAACAGCCTCCCCCAAWAAAACCTGGGTTCAAGTTGTGCTCCCTTCTCTTTCTTGCCTGTCTTGCCCCCTGTGTGGGAGCTGGGTCAGAGGGGCTATCTCAGAACCTAAAGAAAAAGGTAAGTAATTTCTCTTTGTATGATTATTTCGTGCSAGCCCAGTTCACCTGGAGTGGCCTTGACAGATGAGTCATGTGTCACRACAGAAGCTGACATACTTGCAAGGGCTCTCTAGCTATATCACAACAGCGAAAAGAAATATGGGATCCAGTCACATGCAGAAGGGGCCAAGTATAAGGTGCAGTTGCTGTCGTGAGAACTAATTCACTTCATGAGACCAGCATTAATCCCTTYCAGGTGATACTCCCCAAAACCCCAAACCTCYCCACTAGGTCTCACATCTTAAAGATTCTACCTTCCCAACCCAGCCAACCCTGGGGAAAAATTTTCAGTACACCAACGTTCCGGGAATACAGTCAGACCATGTTCAAACTATAATCCTTGAGTAGGTAAAAGAGGTTGGACTTTTAAAAGCAAGAACAGCTTATCCTCTGTCCTAGGTGGGGAAGATGGATGTATGGCTTCAAATGCAGGTAGGCTGAAAGACTTACTGAAAAGCTGAGCTAGTTCTCTCATGATTTCTTTTATTTTCTCAGTGAAATGAGAAGCAAGGTCAAAAGGGAAGAGAGGAGGATTGAAGTTTGAGAAGAGCAAGGAACGAGGAGTCTGGGAGAGTTAGGAAACTTGTAGGAAAATGCAAAGGGCTCTTTAAATTTATTTTTTAATTGATTCTTTTCAGTTTTATATAAYATTAGGATATATYTTGACATCATCACAAAAGCATGTGATATAATTTGCTCTAATTCAGTCCCCAGCACTTCCCCCTCCTTCCCCTTACTCCCCTCCCGCTACTCGACTGATCTTCTGCAATTTATTTACACTTTTCATAAGTGAGTGTTTTGTGGATGTATTCGATGTCGGGATTCACTGTGCTGTATTCATGCACGTGCATATGAAAGATCAGTCAGAATCATCCACTGTTCTTCCCTTTTCCCATCGCAAAAGGCCTTCTTGAAATGGATGCTCATAAATGTAATGTGATAAATATTCAAAAGTAATTCTAGCCAGGAGAATAGTTTGTTTTTGTTTGGCAATGATAAGCTGCTTAGGAGCAGATGTGAGTTTAAATAGTCAGGGGTTTGCAAAGTGGGAATGGCAGGGAATGGGGAGCTTGCATGATAGACATGGGGAAGAAGTTGGGGTCAAGGAATAGAACTCCTGATGGGACTGAAGAATTCTGCATGGTGGCTGCAGAATGGGAAGATACCAGATGTGGTCAGAGAATGGAATGTTATACCTGAAATTTTTTGGGGGGGGCCAGGGATTGAATTCAGAGGCACTCAACCACTGAGCCCCAACCCCAGCCCTATTTTATTCTTTATTTAGAGACAGGGTCTCACTAAGTGGCTTAGTACCTTGTTTTTGCTGAGGCTGGCTTTGAACTCTATATCCTCCTGCCTCAGCCTCCTGAGCTGATTAGATTATAGGTATGAGCTATGGCACCAGGCACACCTGAGCTTTTGAAGAGAGTGCAATTGCTTCCCCATGTTTCCCTCCTCTGAGACAGCCCAACGTACAAGAAAGTAGAGGTCACATGGCAGAGGGAAGGGGCACTGGAGTGGGGTCCATTAAATAAGGGACAGGTGTAATGGAGACTCTGTGCTGATGTTGGGTCACCAAGGGTGATTGTTGGGCAGAAGGGTGGGAAAGGAGGAACATGAGCCACATGGAAATATCTGCAATGACAAAGAGTGACTGTGGGAATTAAAAGTAGCAGTTAGCACTGTCTGACAGAAGTCACTTCAGAGAAGCTGGAGATTTGGAGGGAGAATGGTGGTGAACTGGTCTGACACCTTGCCCACCTCTAGACTTCGTGGTAAAAGGGAAATAGGAAAAAGAATCAGCCTCTATTAAAGAATCAGCCTCCATTCTGGAGGATCCGAAGGAAGGCAGTGTTCTTAGAGGAGAGACAGGTTTCAGGTACAGCAAAAAAGTGTTGAAGGTGGACAGAGATATCAGTGGGTGTTTGCTGAAGGGGACAGCAAAGGATGGGTGGAAGGATACAGGTRCAAGGGCTCTAATTACCTAGCATAGAGGCTACACTCGGTAAAAAGCAGTTTTTATTTTTTCTGTTTCCATTTTTTTTCTAATCCTCAAGAAAATTTTAAAACATATTCTTCAAGCATAGCAAAGGAGCCAGTTAAGGAAATCACTGACTTAATGTTAAAGCCAGAAGTCTCCTTGGAGGAATCCTGCGGTACTTGCTTGTCTTTTCGGAGATGAGGAAATAGTGTTCCAGGTCAAGACTTCAAGCCCCCTCACGRGTCTACCAGATGTCTAACCTGGTAAACCACTTGTCAAATCCTCTGAGGCTTTACCTGGTCAAGGTCATGGCTGGCATCCACCCTGGGCTTTTGGACCTGTTCCCATCTGGGTCTTAAAAACCCTGAAGGGACTGCTTCTTACAAGTACAACCAATTCCTTGAGATTATCTTTCATATGCAAATMGACTAATCCTGAGCTCAGCCACCTCCTGCAACTGTCTCTTACACTCTGGGCTACTATACTTCTGCCCTCATCCCTCCAGGGCCAGGTATCAGAAAATAAGGGATAGCTACTGTGCTGTGGAGCCCACTGAAATGACTCAGACTCGCCAATCCTAAACCAGTGTACTCTGCCTTCCTACCCATTCCTTTCCACGAAAACCACTATAAAGACTACTGCCCACCTTTCTTTCCTTTCCTGCCTCCTGACATGGGTGCTTTCCTGTATGGTCCTGCTTTCCTCTTAGAACTTTGAATAATGAATGATATTTCTGATGGCAGCCATCTCCTGGTCTGTTGGTCTCGCCATACCTAAATAATAACAAAACCTATGTGCTAAAACACGCCTACGTTCTTGGATTACCAGGCCTACGAATGGAGGAACACAAACCAGCTGTACCCCCCAAGCAGAGCTTCTTCTGGGGGGTAACTGTTGCTGCCCTGATACACATTAGCCTTCCTTTATCTTGCCTCTAAGTTCCTTGGTGAGCAAAAGCTCTCATGAATGTAGAAAATTGGTTCTACTTCCCAAAGAAAACCTGGGAAGCCTTGTTCAAAGCATCTCTGGAATGTTTCCCTGGGGTTTTCTAGAATGGGGGGACACCACCCTTACAGAGTCTCTTGGAGTTTAATTTTACATAGATAAATTCTCAGCTTTGCTATTTCCTGGCTGTGCTTAGCTCTAGATCATGAAGCAGGGAAGCTGCAGCATCAAGCAAGACCAGCACCAAACCTACAAGAGGGGACATTTGTCTTCCTTAACATGTCATCTAGAGGGTGACTGCTGAACAGAGGGGCTGTGCCTGCCCCCCAGGAGTCAGGGTRGAGATAGGGGTAGAAATTCTGACTGTGACAGTTCTCTGGGGACAAGGTGAAGTGATCAGTGGACTGCTGACCATCTTGACTATTCATCCAGATGATGATTCTCTGGATTAGAGAGCACAGTGCTGAACCGGGTGGTCTAGGTCCGTGGTKGGACAGACAGAATCTCACACTCACTCTGTGGTAGCTAGAAAGGCACAGACAGGCATGGAGGAACATAGGGTTCTAGTGACTTCCATGTTGGATCACCCGAGGCAATAAGTAATTGGTAGAAATAAAATCTAAGAGGCCCATTAGACCCCCTCTGCTTCCCAGGCTTAAAGAGATTTCACAGTCAGAGTTGTGAAGGGAGGCTGAATCTGCGATTATTGTCTCTAAACATTATTTACCACTTACCGGGTGCCATTCCCCCACTGGGCACCAAGTGGAAAATGAAACAGAGGCCTTAGCGGGTGAGGAAAGGAAAGCACAGGACTGAAGTTACCATGCTGTCCAAAAGACTGGAGCCTCTAACCAGCTGTTTTAATTTTTAATCTAACCAATGAATCCACGGGGGGGGGGGGGGAATACAAAGACGGTTACGAGCATGGTGCTACAGGCAACCTGGGATGCTGTGTTACCTGTTAGTGACATAGTCAACAAGGTGTTGTTTGAACATGAGGCTCCACCTCTTAATTATATTCAGCAGAGATGCCTTAAAAGGTCGCACATCAATTTTCATCCAGCTGTCAAACACCTTGACGGGCTCCAGTTTGCACACCTCTGCATAGAGCTTTTCGTAGGAGTCAATTTGCACCTTGAACTGTTGGAGGAGGGGTGGGTTCTCGGGGATGCCGTCTTCTGCATGGGCTTCCATCTCCTCGGGTGAGAGGACATGCCCATACAACAGAAACTGACCCAGAATCTCCTTCCGGTCCTCCACGTAGAGATAGGAATACTGGACAAAGGTGTTTCGATAGCCACAGCAGAGGGTCATCATGCTCTGGACCCTTTCCATGAGTGTGCTCCGCAGGCTTGCCAAATCCGCCATATCCTCCAGATCAACCTGGGGAGGGGAGACAATAGCAAGCAGGGGGTAAATCCCTGCTTGGTAGGAAGCTCCAGATGTGGTGGAGGGCAGAGGGGTGCAGACACAGTACCTGATAGTGAGGAGAGCCAGATTGTGGGGAAAGCCGTGGCACCAAGGTTGACATCCCAAAAATGCTGTTGACAAGACCCTCAACCAGGTCGTAGAAGCCCCCCTTCACTCCAGACTCCAGCGATGGATAGAAAACTAAGTCTGGGACAGCGAGGCTAAGTTGTACTTCAAATATTGGGGTGATTCCTGCCTGACATTCTGAAAAACAAAAGACACAAACCAACAAAGCAATGATGAATGGATGAGATGTCAAAGCAGAATAACGATTTCAAACACACAAAGCATTTCTTTAGAGTATAGAAAAATGGGAAATATACATTTTTCCAGGAAAAGGCGTGGGGGAAAGACTTGCAGTGCTTCTCAACAGGGGGAACCAGTAACACTTTGGAAAAACCAATTTTTGTGCAGGGCTCTCTTGGGCATTGCAGGACTTTTTCTGACTCTTTCCTCATTGGTCAATCCATTGATTGACCAAGCCAAGCCAGTCCCCTTCCACATTTTCAGGTACCGCTYGGGGTTACTGGGGCCTCTCCTTGAGAAGAGCTTGATTTTTCAAAGCCAGCTCTTGGAAACAGCCAATTTCTTCACTGACAGTCACTAGCTGAATGGGGTATACTTGTGGATGGTTGCACAAGGCTTGAAAAACAAAGAGAAGTTACCATCCTGCCCTTCCAGCTCCTTTTCTAAAAAACACAGAACTTATTTTAATTCTATAGTCCCAGAGTGATAAAAATTTTAAAAACAGTATAAATAATTCACAAATTCCCGATTACTTGCTAGGCCAACTTGCCTTGCTAAATTTACATCATAATACAAGATGGAACACCACATTCCAAGTCAAAGATAAATGCTTACGCTTTTATCAATAACCATTTATTTTCATATGTGTTTTTGATTGTAGAAACATTTAGAAGGCTGTTATGGGTTGGATACTGTGGGTGGAGAGACAACGCACTGAAATCCATTGTCTTCTTATTCCCTAGAGTTAGAGAATGAGACCAAATTTCTCAGCTCTACTTGCAGCGGGGGTGACAATGTGATTTCCTCACCAGTGGAATGTGGGGACAAGCAACAAGGTCACCTTTGGACTGAGAACGTCTAGAGACAGTATGCGAGCTTTTTCTATACATTCTTTTTTCCTCTCCCATAGACCTGGATGTGTGTGTGATCTGGCTCAATTACAGAATGAGGACAAGGCCCCAGAGAATAGTGGAAGTACAGGATGGGAGGAACCTACTGGAAAAACTGTAACAATCCCCTTGGACCACTACTTAGAGGTTAGACTTCTTTGTTGTTTAAGCCCCATTATTGATAGAGGTGTTCTTATCACAGCTTAGTGATTCACTCTGATCAAATATCTATAGAATTTACCTTCAAAACTGAAGGAACAAATGATGAATTTCTGCTATGAGACTCAGGAGAGTCCCATCAAACCCATATTTAACTTAAGGGAATACAGGTTTATCCAGAAAGCATGATAATAATACTAATATAAAATAGTTTGAATAAAAGACTGTGAATTACCTTTATGCTAGTTTAGCGTCTCTTATTTKAAATTCTTAGAATTAGAAATGTTTCAGATTTTGGATTTTTTTTTTCAGTTTGGAATATTTGCATAGACTTTACTGATTGAGCATCCACAAACCAAAAAAATAAAATAAAATAATCACTAAAATCCMAAACTCTGGGCACTCAAGAATTTAGGATTTCAGAGCATTTTGGATTTCAGATTTTCCAAATGGGATGTGCAATGTACATATGTTCTCGTGGTATATTATGTATTGCTATTCATATTATATGTTAACAAATTAATAGATAAAATTGCATACAGTTTACAGGATCTAGGAGACTTTAAAGAGCATTTTGACTCAGAGACTTGTCTCATGTGCTGACAGGAGAAACTAATCCCTAGATTGGATATAATGCAAATATAATCGGAAGAGGCAGATTGTCCTGGATCCACACTCTTGGTATGAGTAAGTTGTTTTAGAAGGAAAGAAGAGGAAGAACCTTCCTTAATGGAGTGTATAGCATTTACCCTATTTATTCAGGATTTACACTTGGAGAAAGACAGGCAGGTCATCCCAGGCTATGGAAATGGTATGGGCTTAACCACATTCAAGAAGCAAAAATGGTACGCTGGACCTGGAAAGGAAGAGCTCCTCTCTTTAGGCTGCTTCATTCCTCCTTTGGTAATCAATACCTTTTAAATTTTATCTGTATTGTCTCTGTTCAGRCAGCCACAAAACCCAGTGCCTTCCCACTCAAAGAATCTGAAGGCCCTATGTGGTGAATCAAAGGTGTTTTGCCCTCCAATTTTCATGGAGGAGGCTAACACTGGCAATCTTGGAGGAAGGCTGCCAGCTCTTCTCTCCATCCCCTTGTTCCCACTCTGTCTTTCCCTCAAGAAGACAAGTGGCATGTCAGACAGCCCAGTTCAGGAGATCCAGGTACCACTGGGCAAGAGCAGAGTCAGGACATTGACACAGGATCTCCATGCACTGCCTGTACCAGGTGGGGYGTCTCCCTAAGTGCAGGAAGGATTGAGTGAGGAGGCTCCCTGAACCTCTAATTTCAAAGAAAGTTTGACCAGTTTACTAAGGTAAGTACTACTTTAGTACTCCCAGTGCAGAGGCCTTAGGACCAGTTCACCTGTCTTGGTTCCAGGTATCCCATGCCCCATTAGTTACTTGCTCCTTCTTTAGAAGATGATCTTCCACCTGGCTGACTATGCTGGRTCCCCACCACTGACAGATATCCTTGATTTGGAGCACCCCTGAATCATATAGACCAAGATCATGCATACACCTCAGCCTCTTTACCTACCAAAAGTCCAAGAACCCTTTCCACTACACTCAATGCTGGGCCTTTCTCCTCTCTGTATTCTCAACCTGGGTGTCTGCATGTTCCCTCTTATGGGCTGGATATTGTGTACACATGTTGGCCTACGGATTTTAACTCTGCATTTGATTTCTATCTTTGGGTCGGACTTGACATCTCTTACTTTCACCTTCTGGCTTCAAAATACTCTTTCTGCCTTGATGTTCTGACTTATCCTTCAGTATGACTCTTACAAGGCAACTCAGAACCTTCCAGAATGTGAAGGTATAATTCAACTTTTAGTCCTGAACTCTTCTGCACTTTCTCAGCATTCCCTAAGCCAAGGTTAGCCCTTACTGGATTTTTGATTCTGTGCACCTTACCCCAGCTTATCAACCTTAAATGTGAAGTTCTTACCTATTTTTTTTTATAGCTTCAAAGAAAGTCGATGACATTCTTAGCATTCCTTTTTCCTTCTCAAAGTTACCTCCCTCCTGCTTCTTGTCTAACTTTTTTTTTCCACCTAGAAAACCTTCTGTTTCTTCCACTTAACCTGACTGCCACAACCTCAAAAAGCAACAGAGACAAAGTAACTTAAAGCCGGAAGGCACAGAATGCCCTCTTCCATCACCACATGAGTCAAGGGTAAAGGAAGCCCTCATTGCTAACTCTGCTTCATGCTGCTTCAAGGTTCTCACCCACGGTGGCTCTTTACGGGAGGTGGACTTCGATTGAATGAACTTTTATGTTTTTGCTTTTGTGATGGGCTTCACCATCTTAGAGACTGTTTTGTCACCTGGTCTTTAAAAAATCAGAAATCTTATGTCTTTGAACCATTTAGAAACTCAATAACTTGGCTAGTTTATTGTATACCATTCACAAAACGTCCATGGCATTTGGGGAAAGTCACAGAACACTCAATGGTGCCTCACTTTAATTCAACAAATGCTACTGATCCTCTCTTCCCAATAATAACCCACATTGATTAGCCAATAAGTACCCGTGTTTTCCAGAAGGTACTTGAGGGAGCACTCAATGGCAAGAAAGAATCCATCCAGCAACATATCATCAAGATAGTTAACATAAGTCTCCCAGGTACTGGAGGCTGGGTCTGCTGAAAAGAGACCCAGATTTTCCTACAAAAAAAAAAAGATATAAACCATGTTTAATAGCATGAAATATCTGACATAATCGTCATTCATAGGAATGAAAACAACACCTGGAGGAAAAAAAAGTCTTTCTATGAAGAATTGGCTATTGCATGTCTATGGAATTCATTCTTGTCTCATGGGTGTGACCATTGATTGAAAGGGATGCAAAATTCATTCCATGAAGGAAATATGGGTCTCCTCCTGTTCCTGAGAAAGGCCACCTTCTCAGAAGGAATTCTGATAGATGCGAAGTGTGTGCTTTGTAGAGACGGCCGATGATCTGTGAAGGAACATCAGAGCAGAGAGAGGTAGGGTAGGCAGAGGAAGGAGGTCAAAGGGTAGAGGGCTCTAGGTTCAAAGTTCAAAGAAATTTGAGGTTCAAAGAAGGAAAGGCCTTCCTGGATAATCTTTAACAATGAGCTCCAATGTTTTGTAGTTGAGTTCTGATATTAACTAAAAGCCTTCATCAGACACACACACACACACACACACACACAAAAATATATAACATAAAAATGCCTCCCTTACTGCTTCTCTCTCTCTCTCTCTCTCTCTCTCTCTCTCTCTCTCTCTCCATCTCTTTCACCTATGCAGCTCCTGATCTGGAGGATGCCCAACATCACCATGGTAACAAGACTTGGACATTAAGGAGAGGGAGTTTAAATGCTAAGCAATGACAAGTACAGACATTCCATTTACTTTTCATCATTTTCATTATTAAAACTTTTTATAGCATCTCTCCAATTATCTGWTATCTTTGGAGGAGGCAGTACCTAAGTTACAGAAGTAACTTTCCCGGATGACTCATGCCTACCCCTGCAGGAAACACTGCCATGTTATAAATCCCCCTGGATTTAAACAATCTTATGATCCTGCTTTTAAGTGACACAATTCTAAAGTTTTTAAGATGTATTATCAACACCTTTCCTTCCTGAGTAGATTTAATATTTTCTTAATGATTTAAAGTCTATCACTATGCAAATCATAGCAGAGGACGATGCAGTTGCTTGTAAGTGTTAAGATGTGTATGTGTGCTTCTACTTGAAATAACTTTCAGAATTTATGACGGTCTTATATGATTGTTCTGCCTTTTTTTTTTAAGAGAGAGTGAGAGAGGCAGAGAGAGAGAGAATTTTAATATTTATTTTTTAGTTATCGGTGGACACAACATCTTTGTTTGTATGTGGTGCTGGGGATTGAACCCGGGCCGCACGCATGCCAGGCGAGCGAGCTACCGCTTGAGCCACATCCCCAGCCCCTTGTTCTGCCTTCTTATTACTGAGCTGTTAATATAGCTATACATACCTTTCACCTTGACTTCAAATCTTTACTAGGCTAAGGAGCAAATGTGTTGGAGTTTTCTGTGAAGTTGGCATAAATAGGTTTCTAGTCTTGGCCAAGGTGTAAGAATGAGATTGTATTTGTCCTTCTGCCACAAACAACTATAGAACTGGACATGATACAAGAAATACTTGTTTGGGGTACTTTGTATTGGTCACTACAGGGATGCAGTCCTTGAGAGAAGGAAAATATTCAAGATGAACTTCACAGCCAGGTGGCTTTCTACCTGAAAGCACTTTCCAAGCCATGATGTAGGACAGTGGACCTCAACTGGAACATCTGTCTTGATAGAGAAGACAGAAACTGGAGCTAGGGTTATTGAGGTGGCTGGGTGCTCTTGAGTCTTTGATCCAGCAGAAGCTGTACATGTTTAGGGCAAGATTGCAAGATCTGGCTGAAAACTGATACAGGARGCCCTAATGTGAAGGAAAATTATGTAGGACATAAAGTGCTGAACGATGTTAGAGTCCTATTAGGAATGATGAAAAACCTTGCAGATAACTGAGGAACTCAAGTCGAGACTCCATGATTTAGGATCAGAGCTGTGCTATTCTAGAGTAGGTGCTCTGTAGACCTTTGCTCAAAAAGCTTAAAAGTGAACCTCAACAGGATCAAGGAGATTTATCAGAAAGTTAACTGACTACCAAAGCAAAAACCCAAACTCTTTAAAGGAAATTACATTCGGATTCTCGAATGGCATCCAACATGCCTAGCGCCTAATAAAAAATTGCTAGATATGCAAGAGAGAGAGAGAGAGAGAGAGAGAGAGAGAGAGAGAGAGAAACATTTAATCCAAGGAGAAAATAGTCACTTAAAAAATCATCTGGGTAAGTTGTTGAATTTGTAGCTGACATAACAACCTTGAAATTCTCACTGGTTAGACTTATTTTATGTGAGAGAAAAACAAATTTGTTTCATTAAAAAAAGACTCAGAAAATAAAGTAGATTTTTAAAACTAGCAGCCAAGAACATCTTGTTYGTAAAAACAAACAAGCAAAAGACTCCCCAAATTTGATGAAAAGCTTACAAATTCCATGCAAGATGAGTACAACGAAAACCCACTTATGTACATCATAGCCAAAATGAAAAAAAAAATCAGAGATGGGAATCTATTAAAAGCATCCTGAGAAAAAGCAATACATCACCTACAGAGGAACAAAGAAACAAATTCTGGCTGGCTTCTTATGAGAAACACTGGGGGGTTGAGGACAATGAATAACTTGTGAAAGGAAAACAAAACCACACAGAATTATATATCCAATGAAACTATCTTTCAAAAACAAAGGTAAAATAAGGACATTTTTATATGAACACTGAGAGTATGTKCCATCAACAGACCCGAACTTCAAGAAATACTGAGAAAATTTCTTGAGGAAGAAGAGAGATAACTCCAGAAGACAATTCAAATCTCTAGAAAGGAAAAGCAAGCCTGCAAATGGCAAGGATGTGGGTAAATGAAAAACACTAAAAATATTTTTAATGCAAAATTATAAGGCTGTACTRTGGGATTTAATGTATATATTAAATATACTGCCATATTTAACATCTATAAATATATATCATATATGTCATGCAATAGTAGTGCAAAAGATGGGCTGAAGGGTTAAATTGAACTATATACTGTTGCAAACTTTCTAAATTTTATAGCAAAACTCTAAGCAGATTGGGAAAACTTTAAGATGCATATAGGAACCTAGAAAAATCACTAGAAATGCAATGCCACAATGCACAGTTGCAATGCTAATGAAGAAATTAAAATAGAWTACTAAAAGGTATACATCTAGCCAACAAGAAGGTGGGCACAGAACAACAGAGGAACAAAATATAAATGGTGCAAATAGAAAACAAGTAACAAAATGATAGAACTAAATTCTAATATACCAATATTTGCATTTGAATGTAAATAGTCTAAACATTTCAATTAACATGCTTATCATTGAACTGAAAAATTAAGAGCTGTTGGACTAAAAAGTAAGTTTTTTACTATGCACTGACTCTAAGGAGAAGAAATTTTAGCACAAAAAAACAAATAGTTTGAATATAAAATAGTGGGAAWGATGAGTACTGCAAAAAGTATATATAATGAAATTAGGAACGAAAGGTGACACTATGATCAGAAAAAAGTAGACTGTAAGACCAGGGAATATCATTAGAAATAAAAAGGGAACTTCATGATGGTATGGTCAATTTATTAGGAAGTTATAACAGAAACAAATGTGTTTGCACCTAGTAGCAGAGTTTTAAACATGTGATAAAAATTTTGATAGAACTAAAGAATAAAGTAGATAGAKCCACAACCATAGGTGGAGATTTCAATACTCCACCTTTAGTAATATCATAACAATAAAAATTGCTTTGAGCTTATGTTTATAAAACACTATACCCAACAACAGAAGAATACACATTATTGTCAAGTGCCCGAGAAATATTCGTGAAGATAGACCATATTCGAGGTTGTGCAACAAGTCTCAATTAATTCCAAAAAAGCTAAAATCTCATGGAACATATTCTCTGACCATAATGAAATTAGATATGTATCTCACTAATAGAGCTGGAGAGGCCTTGAAAATGAGGAAATTAAACAACACACTTCTACAAGTAAGACACCCCCCCAAAAAGGGAATTAATCTCATCAAATCCCTATAGTAGAAAGAAAGAAAGAAAGAAAGAAAGGCTGAATATCAATAACCTAAGTTTGTACCCTAAGAGGCAAGAAAAAAGACAAGGAATTTATTCTAAAATTAGAATGTAATTACAAAAAATAGAAATAGGTGAATTAGAAAATATAAAGACCAGTAGAGAAAGCTAATAAAGACAAGATTTGGTTCTTTGAAAAGATTGATAAAATTCAAGAAAAWAACAGAGAAATCATTCCTGTAGAAACTATATCACATAATGATAATAAGAAATAATTATGAATAATTTTTGCCCCCAAATTGATAACATAGATAAAATAAACAAATTTGCTGAGAAAAACAACTTGAAAAACTGAAAAAGGGTGATATRCAAAAATATATCAAAACTATCTTTTATCTACCACCTCCCCCAAAAAATCATCATCAAATACTTCCCCCAGAAGCCAACTCCATGTCCAGAAGTATTCTCTGGTGAATTCTATCAAACATAAGGCAAAGATAAGATCAGCCTTCTATAAAATTTTCAGAAAATAACCAAGGAAATATTATGCATTTTATAAGGCTACTATCACCTTGACACCCAAACTAGATAAAACATCAAAAGAACAATCAATATCAATACCATTCAAAACATAAGAACAAAAATTCTTGAAAATTAACAAGTCAAATTTCATAAAATATGTAAAGGATAACAAAACATGTCCAACTGGGTTTATTTAAGAAATGCAAGGTCGATSTAACATTTAAAAACTCAATACACCCATCAAGAGAATAAAGGGGGAAATTATGCAACCACCTTGGAAGGTACAGAAAGATCATCAATAAAATTCACCATCTAATCATGACATAACCTTTGAGCCAAGCAAGAACAACAGACAGTGAACTTCCTGATTCTGATAATGAATAGCCACAAAAACCTTACAGCAATTTTTTATACTTAGTGGTGAATTATTAAATGCTTCTCCAGATTATTGAAAATGAGGGAAGAATATCTAAATGTTCACTCTCACCACTTCAGCATAGTACTGGAGATCATAGACAGAGCAATAAGGCAAAAAAAAAAAAAAAGAAGAAGTAAATTACATAAAGCTTAGAAAAAAAAGAAGGAAACTTGTTTCCATTTGCAAGTGAYATGACTATTTACACAGATAATCATAAGAAATCTATAGCATAGCTACTGCATTTAATAAATTTAGAACGGTCATAAACACATTATCAACATGAAAAAATCAATTATACTTTTATATACTAGCTAATAGTAGTTGGAAAACAAAAATCAACAAATGATTCAATTTACAGTAGCATTCCAAAACAGAAAACACTTAGTGATAAATTTAATAGATAATGTTGAAGAAACTATAGAGCATTGCAGAAAATAATTAGAGAGACCTTAGTGAAGAGACATGCCAGGTTCATGGATTGTTATTAATTTACAGATTTGATACAATTCCAATAAAAACCAATTTTTTTCTAGAAATTGGCAAGCTGAATTTAAAATTTATGTGCATATGCAAAGAACCTAGAAGATAAAACCATTGAAAAAGAAAAACTAAGTTGGAGGACATATTGTACCTGGTTTTAACACTTATCAATAATATTATAATAATCAAGAAAGAGTGGTATTGTTAGTAAACAATTTTATATTGGTATTTTATATACCAACTGACAACACACACACAAAAAAAATGTGTATAGGTATTTTAAGTAGTTAATTGGTTTTCAACAAAGATTCCAAAAATTCAATAGGGAAAAGTGTTTTCAAACAATTGTCTGACAAAATTGGCTATTCATATGCAAAACAACAAACTCAATTCCCATGTCACCTCAAAAATAAATATTAACTCATGACAGATCATAATATTAAATGTAAAAGCTAAAACTATAAAGCTTCTAAAAGAAAATCTAGAAGAACATTGTGGCAAACTTGGGATAGGCAGTTTTCTTAGGACTTAAAGGATGAGGGAGGGAAGAGGGTAAATTAGATTACATCAAAATTTGAAATTATTTCTCATCAGAATACACCAGTAAGAAAATGCAGAAGGGACAAATTTGGAGAAAATATTCACAATGTACATATCTGACAAAAGATATGTAGCCATAAAGGATTCCTCGAACTAACAACATTATTAAAACAACGTGTAAAAGATGTAATGTAAATAGACACTTCAGACAGGAATATGTGCGTGTGTGTGTGTGTGTGTGTGTGTGTGTATGTGTATACATACACACACACACACACACACACACACTGGAATATATGTACATTGAGTTAATCAGCACATAACTGACATTTTTGGAAACACAGAGGATGTATGTGTGGATGGATGGATGGATGGATGGATGGACCGATAGAGGGAAGGAAGAAAAATGAATGACAAGTGGATGCATAGCTTCAAAACTAGATAACGAATTGCTGACTATGGAGGCAGAGGGGTTAAATATAATTCAAGTTGAGGATTTCAAAGGCAAAATTTAGGTAATGATTTCCATCACCTAACTCCAGTCATCATTAGTGCTTAAGGCCGGCCAATCTTACTGTACTTCAAACCACAGATAAGCCATACATAATAACTGCAGATTCATTCTTGACTTCGGGCACCTGTCAACCTGTAGACACAGTCTTATGGCTACTTCAGTAGAAGTGGAGCTGGTCACATTATCCTTTCCCATTGTTTACAATGAAGCTTTGGTTTTTGATGATGGGACATGAAGTCGCCTTGGTCACAATGCAGGGACAAGCCTTACTRCAGGGAGTGCTATACTCAGCAGTTTTTCCTCTTTTTGAATAGTTAGGGATGCCTGGTACCCTCTCAGGCCTCAGGGCTCTATAGAGCTAATTATAAGAATGTTGCCRGAGGACCACACCAGGTTGCAGGGGTGAGTTGGGAACAAGGGTGGTTGGTGCAGCAGATAATTCAGGATTCTGCCCTTGGCATCTCCTTTTATACCCTTGGGGTTGGGTGTGAGACTGAAGTCATGTGACGACTAAGTGGTGTCACCACTACRTGGTGTTAATTTTGACACACTGATATTAGGATGTGACTCTTCATTGTCCCTATTAGCTTCCCTTATTTTGCTCTCAGTATGAACTTTTATTCTTGACTGCAGAAGACACAATCTCTACTGATCATTCTAATTTCCAGAGCACTTTTTTTGCATTCACACATGTATCTTGGTGCTTTCCCTCTAGTCTCAGGACATGGGTCTGAGAGGCTGGTTATTACCTGAACAAGGGCGTGAATCTTAATGCCAGATTCTTTGATGAGACTGTAATGTCTTTCCACGAGATCACGCTGATCATCCAGAGACAGAAGGCATTCCTTTTTCCCATCTTTTCTCTTAAATATTGGAGCCACCCACGTTTTCATGATGCTTTGAATCTCTTCCACATTGTCTTTTGTTTTCTGAATTCTTTGTTCAAGATCATGAATACTGCTGGTGATTTGAATGACATAATCCCAAATGCCTGCTCCCCAAAAGAAATAGAATTAAACGAAGCACCTTACAGTGAAGGGCTACTCATTATGAGAGATAGGGATTTCATGCTTGCAGGTTTTATGAGAATTTTCTGTCCAGGTTACTTCATTATCATCAGAATATTTTTCTTCCAAATTGTATTAACAAACCAATTCTTACCATAATCCTGACTACAGAGGAAGGCAAACAGAAGTGACACCTACCACACTCCCAGCTGGTACCTTTGCCCAGAAATGTAATTTTACAATTAGTATCAGTGAAACATGATGACTTTATTTGGATTAATCAATTTTTTTAGTACTTTTAATGCATTCAAGGTTGAAAATGYCATTCCCTCTTATATATTGAATAAAGTCCTAAATTGTTTAATATTCCAGGATTTTCAAATTTTAACTTTTCTGAGGACCCTTATTTGAATTAATCTCCTTCCCCTGTGACTTGTTACTTTTAACCCTAGGATGGTGTTTTTTTTTTTTTTTTTTTTTTAAATCATGGACAGGTGGACAGGTTTGTTTGATTTGGGTTGTACATATGCCTTTTGTCTTCACTACAGATGAGCTCTTTGAGGGTAGAGAATGGTCCCATATAGCTCATGTCATATCTCCCTGCACATAATTCCCTGAATGTGTTAACCAATCGAATGAAAATTTACTGAATTGAATTGGGGGACAGTAAAGAAGTAAATGCACAGTGACCTCTTTAAGATGTTTGCAATCTAGTTAAGAAAACCCAACAATGTTGACAAATATAGTTAAGAGCTCTCATTTATGGAATGCCATGCATATGCTAGAGATCATGGTGCATCTTAAGTAAATGAAGCTTTTTAAATTGACCAGTTATATCCCAAGAGGAGAAAGAGGAGGAATACCAACCCTCTTTGCTTCTCTACACAGCTAGACAGACTTGGGTTTCCTAACCAAATCAGATTGCCAGGGAATGATTTGAGGTTCTATTAACGTTATTAGACCCCAGAATCCTAATGCTTCTTTTTAGACTGCAGGCGGTGCCGTTACCTTCTGTTTTCCAGTTTAGAGTCTCCTGTGCAGCTTTCAGCTGGAGATCAATGGTTTGCAGCTCCTTCTCCACTAATGGAAATTCCACCTCTAGCAGAGTTGTCATAACCTTGTTGTACCAATTTGCCACCAACTCCAAGTTGGCCACGAGTTGCCGATAGAATTCCCTGGAGGAGAACATGGCTGCTGCTGTCTCGGGGAGGTGCTTTGTCTCTCTGGACTCCAGATAGCTCATCTCCTTCAGCACTGAAATCAGCTGGAGGAAAGAATCAACACCAGTAGTTATCATTCAGGACTGCCTGAGTGTGAGAGAGCTGTCACATCCGTCAAGGACTGGAACATCCCTAGGGACCCAAAGACCTTCTGGGCCTCTTTTTTTTTTTTTAACCTCAATTCCTGTCAGTTCCTTAAATCTAGTCTCAGAGAAGGAAAATCAAGTATTAGGCAGAAGGTAGATGACTCAGAAAGCAGCAAGATTTACCCAGATATGTAAATCACAAACAAGACCAGGAAGAGGGAATCCAGGAACAGCAGGGGAGAGCTCTGCCTTTGGTAGTGTGGGGACCCTTGGCTGCACTTGGCTGCTGGCCAAGCCAGTTCCACTGAGGGCTGCTGGCCTGAAGGAGGAGGATCAGCTGGTCGGGCCACCCGTATGCATGCAAAAAGCCTCAAATGTAGACTTCCAGCGCTCTCCCCAAAGGAGATCATCAGTCACTGAGAGACACTGATGAGACTGAGAGAAGCACTTGATACAAGTTTAATTGTTAAATAGCATCATTTGGAATATTTCACAATGTCTGTAACCCTGTGCTGGCATTTCTTTGTGTTTTAATATATTAAAAGGTCAAGAAACACAAATCATCCAGGCCTCTCTGAACTTCTGTGGAGCCCCTGAGTTTATAGGCAACCAAAGAAATGAAAAGCCAAGTAGACATAGTCTAAAAGAAATCGAGAAAGACCTTGACAGAAAATAGTGTGATTCTGGGCACCCTCTTTGCCCTTGTCTATTTTATCAGTGTGTTTCTATCTGAACCTACAAGGACTGGTGATGTATAGGTATAGGTGACAAAGCAGGCACAAAGGCACAGTTCTCCCCACTTCTGCCTCATGGAAAGACATCCCAGCCAGGTACCATGACACACACACCTATAATCCCAGTGGCTTAGGAAGCTGAAGCAGGAGGATCGTGAGTTCAAAGCCAGCTTCAGCAACAGCAAGGCACTAAGAAACTCAGTGAGACTTTGTCTCTAAATAAAATACAAAATAGGGCTGGGGATGGTCGAGTGCCCCTGAGTTCAATCCCTGATACCAAAAAAGA